AATATGAATAGCTACTCTTTATGGAGCACCACCTCTTGAGATGGAGTATTTTTTTTATTCCTTCGTCACAAATGAATGAATGGAGGCTCAGGGAGGTTAATGATCTTTTCAAGGTGGTACAGCCAATGGGTGGTGGAGCTGGTATTAAATCCAAGCATGATCTCAAAACTGTTGTTCTTTACCACAGTCATTTTTTCCTACTGAACTCTTTCTCTCTGGTGCACTCTCTCTCTTGCACTTCCTGTCTCCTTTTCTGTTCTGAACCTGGTACCGATATGAATTTTAAGCTAGGTTAAGATTACTGATCTGTCTGGACCATTCATTTGCTTCCATTAAGAGTCAGGCAGGAAGAGTGGCAGGAATAACCTGGTATACATTTTACGAAAACCCCACAAGCTTTGAACACTCTGATTCTGTTCAATCTTTTCTCTCCCTCCTGTTCTTGGCAACTGTCCCTTAAGCCCGTCTGTTCTCTGCCTCTAATATATTATGCTGATATTTTATTACCAAACAATTACATCCACTAATTTGAAAAGGAAACGAGCAGGAAATTGCAATTATAAGAGTAAAAGCAATGCTCTTTTATTTCTCCCCTTTATGCATACGAAATATGGTTTGTCATTGCTGCAAAACAGACTTTTCTCCTCTTCCATGGCTCTTCACTGCCTTGTCTTTAATAATTGAGCAGAAAGCAGAGTAATAATTAGATTCCTGATACCAGGGGAGATATCCATAGATTTGCAGCATGTGGAGGCTCAGCTTGGAGCCATGGGGCCCACAACCATGCCTCCATGGGAGAAAGCATACTTCAGGCTGTTTCAGTTGAGTACCTTCCAGAGCCTTCTGTACATCCATGGTCTTCCATGTAGATTAACTATTTGCTCACAATTATTGTTTCCTTTCTGCCTTTGCCATGCTTTCCCACCCCATTGACTCTGGGCTTGGCCAAGACTTCTTTTGGTCAATGGAATATGAGTAGATGTGATGTACAGCTCATTTGTACTACACAGAAGCTTTCAATGTGCCTGCAATATTTAGCCCTACTTCTCTTGAGCAACACTCAGGATGGTGGCTGCTCCATCTAGGTCCCTGAGTGATTACGCTGCACAGAAACACCCTGCTGACTCCTGATAGATATGTAGTGAGAGCAAGAAATAAACGTTTGCTGTTTTAAGCCACTGAGATTTGGAGCTGTTTTTAAATCACAGCATAGCCCAGCCCATCCTGACTGATATATCTGTGATCTCATTTGACTCTCATTATGTCCATGGGATAGAGAAAAGGCTGATCACTCTGGGTGGTGTCGAGGAAAAAGCGTGTGATGTGGAATCAAAGGGACCTGGGTAAGAAGGCTTTTCCCATCATTGCTGGCTGTGCAGGCTTATCCAAAACAACCCAATCTCTCTGAAATCCTTTTTCTTTATCTGTAACATGAGAATAATAAAACTTACCTTGAAGATCCCTGTGGATCAGAGTCAATGTATGCCAAAGGTCCTGGGTAGAACCCATCACAGAATAAGCAACTAATACAAGATAGTTGTTTTTTTTTTAAATTAGTGTTTTATTTATTTTTATTTTATTTTAATTATCACTCTCTCACTCAGGCTGGAGTGCAGTGGTGCCCTCTCAACTCACTGCAACCTCTGCCTCCCAGGTGCAAGCAATTCCCCGGGCTCAGCCTCCTGAGTAGCTGGGACTACAGGCGTGTGCCATTACACCTGGCTAATTTTTGTAACTTTCGTATTTTCAGTAGAAACGGGGTTTCACCATGTTGGCCAGGCTGGTCTCTAACTCTTGACTTCCAGTGATTCACCTGCCTCGGCCTCCCAAAGCGCTGGGATTACAAGTGTGAGCCACCATGCCTGGCCAAAAATTAGTATTTTAAAATCTCTTTTTGACATTATTTCCATTGAACATATGGGAATGCTGAGCCTAAATCTGTTGCAGGGACCTGCCTAGGCAAATTAAATAACAGAGCTGGAATACAAGTTTTGATTTTCAGACTTTGTGTCCAGAGCTTTCTCCCTGGACTAATAAGTATTGCCTGAGTTCCACACTCTGGAACTGTGCTAAGGAGGCTGGAGGGTTGGGGGGCAAGTGTTAAGAATGAAAACATTGCTTCTCCAAGGAGTGCAAAGTCTACATAGTGAGATAAGCTAAATAACAGAGTTAGTTCCAAAGAAGCAGCTGGTTTTTTTAAGGCACACAATATTCTGATTTTCTAAACTTTGAATGCATAAGAGTCACCGATGTAGCTTATTCAAAGGCAGACTCCTTGGTCCTGCCCTAGAGTTTCCACTTTAATACTAGCCTGTATTAATCAGAACAGAGTGGGCTTTGGCACTAGGCTCCCTGGGTTCAAATCCCTCCTCTGGCACCTACAAATTAATTACACGATCTTGGGCAAGTTATCTAACCTCCCTGGGCTTTGGTTTCTTCATTTGTGAGATGGGGGTAACATTACTGGTTGTCTTATATTACAGTGAAGATTAAGTTAGGTAAAACGGCTAAAAGACATGGCACTTAGCAGACACTCAGTAGGTGCTACCCATTAGTATTCTGATGCAGGATTTCTAAAAACTGTGAGTCTGGGAACTTCCTTAAGGAATGGCCCAGGACAACCCTTTTCTTTGGTGTCCTAAGTGAGTACCCTTTTATGGGGCTTCTTGAGACAATGGCCTCAACCCTTGTGGTGCCTACGGGGGAATTCCAGTCATGGAGGCTTTGATTGTGGAGGCATAGTTGAGACCAACAGTACATCATGATGACTTTTAAATCATATGTATGCTGCAGGCTTCTGCTCACCCATGCAAAGGTTTGTCCCTGGTAGAAGATGTCCATGAGCAAACTTCATTTGGGAACCATCTCTGGCTGTCAGATGGGCAACAATCCAGAGAGGTGCCTGGTTCTTGGTGCCCTGAGGCTGAGTCAGGCAGGATCTGTCTCAGTGGAAATGTTTCACTTATTGCTATTGCCCTGTGCCAAATGCCTCATTTTGCCCCTTGTTAATCATATGATATTAGCGTCCATAAGAGTCACATTTACCAGGAGAGAGGTTTTCTCCTTCTTCTTTTTAAATGTCTTTGAATAATTCATGTCCAATTTAGAAGGATTAAATATGGTGTGTTCTCTCACTCCAGCAAGAGCTGGAGGTAAAAATCTGGTTTCTCAGACTGCAGGGGCCAGGCTGCTGAGAGCCCTCCCCGATTCAGCCTCTCTTCACTGCTGAGAACTGTTCGACTCAAGGCCTTCTGGCCTATTTTTCACTGTTGTCTCACTTGCCTGTGAGGGGCTCTCCAGTTTTTCTTTCTTTTCAAGACCCACTCCTGCCACCTTCTACGGAACCCTTAGCAAGCCATCCTCCCATACCCGCAGAGATAGGGAGCCTAGGCCATGGCAAGGCAGACTGGACCTCCTTTGGGAAGTACAGGGTCTGGAGCTGGGAGGGCTGCGCATTCCCTGGGCAAGGAGACTGCTGCCTCATATGTTCTGCTATGGGCCCAGAAGGAGCTAAGGGACAATGCAAAGTAGGCTCCTCTGACCAGTCTGCCTACCTGTGCTCAAATTCTGGCTCTACAACTCCTTGCAGGTGGTGACCTTTGCCAATAACTTCATTTCTCTATTGCTTCAGCATCCCGATCCATACAGGAAGATTGAGAATAAGCCCTTCTCATAGTGTTGTCCTGAGGATGTAACACAGGAAATATAGGAACATAGCAACATGGAAAACATACATAGAAACCACTTAGAACATGGTCTGTCTGACGTTAGGCCGGGCGCGGTGGCTCAAGCCTGTAATCCCAGCACTTTGGGAGGCCGAGACGGGCGGATCACGAGGTCAGGAGATCGAGACCATCCTGGCTAACCCGGTGAAACCCCGTCTCTACTAAAAAATACAAAAAACTAGCCGGGCGAGGTGGCGGGCGCCTGTAGTCCCAGCTACTCGGGAGGCTGAGGCAGGAGAATGGCGTAAACCCGGAAGGCGGAGCTTGTAGTGAGCCGAGTTCGTGCCACTGTACTCCAGCCTGGGCGACAGAGCAAAGACTCCGTCTCAAAAAAAAAAAAAAAAAAAAAAAAGATAATCTCTCAATTAACATTAGTGGTTATTATTATGTATCCCTTAGATCAGAATTTGAAGTTTATAATGAGGTATAGGTTTTATTGTATTTTATTTGTTCAATTAAAAATTAATTTTAATTACAAAAGGAATTCATGAATACATTCTCCTTGTAAAAAATTAAAACATTACAGTGGAAACTAAATATCATTTGACTACCCCCGTTGCCAAGCTCCCTAGCAGTTATCCGTTTTCAGTTTGGTATGCAGCTTTCTATGATTTTTAAAAAGACATATATATGTACATATATGTACTTGTAAAAATCACACAATATATAAATGTCTATTATAAATGATATCACACATGTATGCATTTTTTACTCAACATTGTATCTTAGAGATTATTTTATTTTAGAACATAGAGATATGCTATATTCATTTTAACAGGTTTATGCTAGTCTATATTATAAGGATACCACATTTAATTTAGCCATTGTTTAAAATTTCACCAGTGCTGCCATAAATATCCTTGTAGATGTCTTAATATATGAATATATCTTAAAGATTCCTCAAGGATTGTCATTTTGCTCATTTTTTAAAGTTCTTGTACAACACAGCTTCACCATCCATTTATACTACCAAATTTAATTTTGCCAATCTAAGCAGTGTCAAAGAATATGCAATTTTATTGATGTTTTAATTTGAATTTTCCTTATTCCTTAATCCTAATAAAGTTGAGCCTCTATATATTTATTGCCTACTGGTATTTTTTGTTTTGCGAATGACCTGTTTGGTTTGCTGCCTGTTGTTTTATTGAGTTAATTTCCTTTTTCTCACTTTTTTTTTTTTTGGAGTTTTAAAAATATATAATTTGGACAGTAATCTGTGTTATATTTGGTGACATTCATTTCTTCCATCCATTGTTTGTTTTTTGTCCTATGTATGTGCTTAATTTTGATTTAGCCCATTTATATTACCCTGTTCCTTGATGACTTTTGCTTTCTTTATCCTATTTATAAGAAGACTCTCCTTATCTTCAACATCATAAACGCAGTTTTCAATATTCTCTTCTATTTTTAAAAAGTATTAAGTCTTTCATCCATCTGGGCCTTATTTTAGTAAATGATGTAAAGTAAGATCTAATTTTATGCACTAGTCATTGAGCTAAGAGCTTTACGTGCGTGATCTCAGTCACTCACACTATCCGAAAAGTTTGGCACGCTCACATCCATCTTCCAGATGAGGAAACAAACTGAGAGAGATGCAGTCATTTGCCTCAAGGTCCCAAAGGTCAACATAGAGCGGTCACCTGAAATGACATCCACCACTGAGATGACCCAGGTCTGTGTGTACCCAAGTGCCTCCTCTGGAGTTCCCTGCAGGTTGAACATTGACTGATCACAATGAGAGGAGGAATTTGGACCAAGTAGAGAAGAGCCTTTCTCATGTAGGAACTGAAATTACTGAGCATCTCTGAAGACCAGGGAGACAAGCTCCAAAGCAGGCAGCTGACCTCTGAAAAGGACAAAGAATCCCACAGTCTCAGCACCACCACTCAAATGTATCAGCTTTGGGCACCACTAACTCTAGGCTATGAGACTTCTTTGGGGGCATCCAACCCAGACAGGTCTTGCACCTCACTGAGTAGAACACCGGTCCAGGCTTGGCTCCTCTGTCTTTACAGCAGCAGGGGGCCAGCAGGCTGCGAGCACAAGCTCTCCTTCATTACCCATTTCTGCTGGGCCCCTGACTGGGGAGGCTAAGTATGGGATGGGGGTGTTCCAAGGGTCAACAAAAGGAGGAGGATGAAGGGAAAAGCCGGCCAGCTGAGGGGAAAAGCTCTTTCTGCTATTACTGTGCCCATCACACAGCCCCCCACCCACTCACCTGTATGGGCTGGAAGCCTGGCCCAATTGTTGCATCTTTCCCCAAAGAAGTGTGTGAAACACACACTTAGAATGCAGAGCGGTGGCTCCAGGCACCCTCGGCATTTACTATAAATCACAGAGACAGGAGAGCTATGAGTCCCCACCTGCAGAATCACTGAAGCAGCTACTCTGGGCATATCTTACCTGAAAACGGTTTTCCTGCTTCCTCCACAGCCCATCGGGGTTTGGGGGCCAAACACAGAGAAGCTATTCCCTGGGGCAGCATTCTTGAGTCCTGGAAAAGTGTTTTTGATATGATCCTGACATCAAGACCCTCTTAAATGCTGGCATTTTCTGACCTTCCTTACAACTATTTTCCCCTGAAACCATGCCTTCCATGCCTGCCCTCATGTCCTGTGGTTTTTTTTTTTTTTTTTTTTAATGTTCTGCCATGATTATGTGTGTTTATTATCTTCTTCCCACTAATAGACGTTAAGCTCCTTAAGGGAAGAACGGGTCGTCTTTGTGGGAGATCAGTAAATTCTATTTAATTTCTTTTTAAAAAGGTACAAGGAAAAAATTCAATCTTCTTTTTCTTAATAGATCTTTTCTCCAAATCAGCTGCTTTCTTCTCTCTGCTCAGAACAGAATGTAGTCATCCCCCTATTTAAGCCTTTATTCAGGCCATTCGCCCCATCTGGGATGCCCTTTCTTCTCTGAGTTGATGTTTAGACTCTCAGTTGTGTTGCTCAAGCTGCCCTTGATATGCTCATTTTAACTGTATGTCGTATGCTATATAATGGGAGGAGAAAGAAGAAGTGGCCCTTTCTGCGGGGCTTCCCCTGAGTCTCCCTCTTGGCCCTAGAGCTGACCTTGTGTGTCCCAGCCATGGAAGAGGCTGTGCACAGCAGCTCAGCAGGCCTGTGCTCCAGACCAGGCAGTCCTGCCCTCTGCTCTTCATACCCAATCCCATCATCATCAGGCAGGTGACGCCCTCTAGATGCACCTACTCAAGCACAGATGCTGCTTGGAAGGGATGGGGAGGCTCACTGGGCCCAGGCTGTCAGCATACCAGCCCACCTCAGTTAACGACTAACTCGTGTATTCTGTTGGCTTTGTCACCTCGTGGTGGGCAGTTTCCTACCCAGATCCCCCAGCTTTCCTTCCTCGAACCCAAATTCACATGATAGAGCTTGTCCCCATGCAATCTGGATTTAGCAGACATCTCTACTGGTGGATTAGTGGGAGAAAAGCAACATTTCCTTTACTAAAATGTGTTGAATTTAAAAAGATTAAAACATGATTTCCCTCCCTCCACCTGCCTCAGTGGAGGTGTCTTCCCCTTAGATAAACGTCGGGCTTATTGATTATTGGATTATACATGTTGGTTTCTTGAGGTCATCAGGCAAGGACACACCTGGATGCCCTTTGTAGGGCACCATAATTTTCAGTGTTGACTGCAGAGAAGTGGATTCTCTGCAGGAAAGGGGAACTTTGAGTGGTCTGGGCCTCTCTTGCCTTGCTCCCTTGGCCATGGAGCTTGTGAGGGTCCCAGTGAACTTGAATTAGGCCCCATGTGGTGGGCTCTGTTGCCTCACAACAGCATCTTGTTTTGTCAGGCTATCCCAGTGGTGCTCAACCTCTTAGCTTATTTTGCTTATTTTACCCTGAGTCTGGTTATGTTCCAGTTTGGGCAGAATGCAGGTAAGTTGTGTGTGTGCCCAGCCTGGCTGTGAATGTGGTAGTGAGCGAGAGTCTCCCCAGGACAGCCTGGCTCAGTGGCAGGTGCAGGTGGTCAAGGTTCAACTTCTCCCTGTCCCTTGTGGGCAGTCTTCAGCATTGCCAGCCCTGAGCGATGTGGGTTTATGTCAGAGGGAGAGGTGGTTTCCTTGTCAATTCCCTGCAGGATTACTTTAGGCAGAGTCCATTTATTTTCCGCACCTGCATGAATGATCGTATGGGAAAATGTGGCATAGGGTGTAGTTTTACAACAGGGCAGATAGAGACAAACTCTGCTGGGGGAATGGAGGGAGATTTCAGGGGTTTGGGAGGTTTGAGAGTGAGTAAGAATTTGCCGAGGACAGAGCCGGAAGAGCACATGACCATTGAGGGCATGTTTTGTCCCCAGAAGAGAGTTGAGCCAGTAAAAGGGTGGAGGCATCTGGGGAAGAGATGGGAGATGGGGGTGGGGGAGTGAAGGGCCATCAGGCTTTAGTGACACACAAAACCTTGAGTGTGACCAGGAATTTGGATTTCTGTGTATAATAGGGAGCGCCCTTCTGAAGGCAGTATAGGTTGGTTTGATTTAGAAAACCCACTTAGGAGGCTGGAGTGATGAAACTGGATTGCGTTTTTCCAGGAAGAAGACCTCCTTGAGAAGAAGGTGGGTGAAGGCAACAAGCAATTGACACGGATCGAGCATCTATACTGGGTAGCTTTGTGTGCGGCTCTCTCAGGGCTTGTGGTCATCTATAGAGGAGCCCAGCAAGTGAAGAGTTTTCTAAATCAAACCAACTTATACTGCCTTCAGAAGGGCACTCCCTTTTATAGACAGAAATCCAAACAGAATTCCAGCATAAAGAGGAGTTCAGCTGCACAGCAATGACTTCTTCAGTCACCTTTGGTTCCTTGTTGAGGGAGGGTCTGTGGTCACTGAGGGCCAAGGGCCATAGCTCTCAGGTTTCAGAAGTGGCCCCTTGAAGAAGCCTGTGGGAAGTGAATTGCAGCTGTGATTCAAGTCAGGTCAACCAGGAGTTTCAGAGTTCATAATGAGCCCAGGACACCCTCTTTCCTGGGGGTCAGCTTAGGCAGTAGAGACTGCACACCTGCACTGGGGGGCCCATCCTCTGTGCAGGGGAAACAGTCCAAATGCCCAGGACTTTAATAGGATGGCAGTGCTGCTTAGACTCCCAGGCAGTGCTGTCTAGGTGGGAAATGGGCTAGGACAGGGATAGGTGAGATCTGAAGAGGTAGAGAGCACAAAATGCAGGCATCCCTCAAAAGAAACACATCCAAATGGTTTTGCAAGTACCATTAGCTAATGTGGTTGAGTGTCTTTATGTGTAGAATTATGTAAAGAGTCATGAAGGCAGGTCAAGACCAAAGTGAAGTGGTGCCCCTGCTTTCTTGGGGCCCACTTGCCATGGAAGACACGATCACTCATTCATTCATCCCACAAATACTGAACTCTCACCATGAGCTGGCTCTGCACTAGATGTGGGGACACGACCCTAAAAGGGAGGGAGGCATAGCAAACTAATACAGTGAAGGGGATAATCTGTATTGGTTTGAAAGGGATAAACTCTCTAAATAATACCTGTGAGGTCTTAGGAGGCTGGAGTGATGAAACTGGATTGCATTTTTCCAGGAAGAAGACCTCCTTGAGAAGAAGATAGGTGAGTGAAGGCAACAAGCAATTGACACGGATCGAGCTTCTACACCGGGTACCTTTGTGTGGCTCTCTTGGGGCTTGTGGCTGTCTGTAGGGGAGCCCAGCAAGCGAAGGGATACTTGTCATACACCATGATGAGAGTGACAGTCACACATAAAATAGTGCTGGGAAGAAGGGAGGAGGGAAGGAGGGAGAGGAAAAGGAAGGAAGGACTCATTAAGAGACCATCGGTGGGTTGTGTGTATGTATGTGTGTGTGTATGTGTATGTTATAGGGAGGGGCCGCCTCAGGGGACCCTGTGTTTCTGTTAGTCTCTGTGATGTTGACGCTGAAGCCATGAACACACAAAGATCACAGACAGAAGGAGGAAGAGCTCTGGCTCTAGTTCCTGTGAGCTACTATGTGTTTCAGAAAAAGCATTAGGGAAGTAGGGAAATGGCTTTTTGATGCTGCTGCTGCATAAACAGGCTTCCCAGGTACAGATGAATTTTAATGTGATGTTAAAAGACAAAGAAGGAAGAGTTGAAGTGCTCAGCCTTTCAGGCCTCTGTGTTGCCTCCTGAAAACCCATCTCGTGGAAGTAGACTCAGGAAAGGAACCCACCTGGTGGCAACTCCTGGGGGTTGAGGGGCAGGTTGGAGGAGGGGAAGGCAGGAAGGACATGCTGACCACTTAGGTCTCTGGCATCACACAGGGAACTCTTGGCCAGTCCTCCAGGGAAATCCCTAGAGGCTGAGGCCTGGGAAACCAGCTTCCTAAAGGGCACCCTGTACCTCAGGTTCTGATTTTTCATTCAGTTTACATAGCCTGTTTGCAGAGCCATCTTAAATATCCTTGCAGTGCATCTGGGGCAAAGCTTAGGGCTGCCAGCAAGGTCTCCCTGCTCCGTGCCTCTGCCCATCATTCTGTCTTGGCTCTGTGAAAGGCTGCCCGAGGTATTTTTCTTGCTTGGCTTAAACATTATATCATTTGGGTTAAACATCACCCTCTTTGGGACCCTCCTTAAGTCTAATTTATGCATTGTTTTTTTCTGGGAAGGCTTCTAGAACTACCCTACCTTCTGCCTTGGGGCTCCCAGGGCTCTATGGGAAACATGATTACTGCACTAAATAGGCAGTCCTATAGGGGTGTGCTGACTGAAATGCTGCAGCCTGAGCCCCTCATCCCTCCACATATATTATAGTTTCTCTGCCGAGGCAACCAGTGCCTATGCCCACCCTGCCTGTGGGCTCTGAAGGCTGGCATGGGCCCTACTCCTCACTGGGACCCTGAGCCGTCCTCAGTTGGTGCTGGCTTAAGGCCCCAGCACAGAAAACACATTTCGATTTGTCTCCACAGAGTAACTATGCTTACTGCACACCTTTCATTCCTAACAGGGAGGATGAAAACAAGCATGAATGCATATGAACATATTGGATTCCTAAGGATTGGGGTGATAGAGACAGTGAGGGAATGAATTAGAGAAGGGGTGGGGATCATCCACCTGATTTGCTTTCTAATTTTACAACCCTGTTGTGCCTCCCTGAATAGCCACAGTAAACACAATCCCCCAGTGGTGGCAAGGGCTTTATATCTAAGAACTGGAAAACTACCAAAGGGACTCTTCCCCAGAATCTCTTCCCTGGAGATCCATTCGCCCCACAATCCAGAGAATGTCAGTCTTCATGGGATGCTGATATAGCTGACTCGGTTCCCCACCCCCTCAACCCCCATCCAACCCAGAGAACTCAGTCCTGAAAAACAAAAGCATCAAGTTTCGGGGGAATCTAACTGTACACACTGGTCACATGTCAGGGGGATGCAAAGATTCTTTTTCCTATTAATTTCCATTGTGATTTTAGAGACATTCTATAAATGTATTAGACCCCCAGCTCCTTAAAAAGGTAAGAGAATATAAGTTATTAATTGCATACCCCATATCCAGTATAGTGCTTGGCACATAGTAAGTGCTCAATAAATGATTTTTGTTATTTGCTGTTAAATTTATAGTATCTTAGTGGGCTCTGGAATTAGATGGGCCCATATGTGTACAGCAGATGCTGTGGGGAGCACGCTCCAGTAGATGAAAAATGTAGTGTTCAGAGGGTGTGACTGTTCAAGCAAGCAGCCCAAGGGGGAACCACTGTGAGGACGCTCACAGTCCCCACGTGTTTGTGCATCTTGCACTGTTCTTAGCACTCTGCATGTGCTAGCTCCTTTCCTCCTCTCTGCTGACCTGGGAGGCAAGTGGTACTCATCTTTCTTTTACAGATGAGGAAGGCAAGGCAGAGTAAAGCAATGACATTCCCAGGTAACACAGCTGGTAAATGGTTATGGGACCTCATCCCAGGCTAGCTGAGTGGAGGATTCATGCCCTTAACAACTTCCTTCTACTGCTTCTCTGCAGAGCATGGCCCTAACAATGGGCAGCATGAAACTGAGGAACACAGCAGGAAGCCGATTTAGGCAAACTCAGCAGGCAGGCATGGGGTTAGTCAACACAAGGGCCATCTCCATGAGTGGCCACTGGGGTCTGGAGCAGGTCTAGATTGATGATTGAGACAGGGATTCATGCATGAGAGCAAGACAAGAAGGCAATGGCCAGAATCAAGCAAGAGAGCTCCCAGGGCTCAACGTCTGGTTCATACTAAAGCTCACAGTGCTGAGTCCCAGAGTCTTATAATACACTTCTGAAATACTCTTTCTCTAAGCTCAGTGTTGGCTAAATTCTAGGGCAAGGCTGAACATCAGTCTCAGAATGTCTTCTTAAACATGGGAACTGCCTGAATAAGGGTATGCAAAAAAGCAGAAACCATCCAGCCTTATCCAATGCACAGACTTGCTCTGTTCCCTTACAGTGAATGCATTCTCTTTAGGCCCACCCTGTTTTTTCACACCATCCAACTGGAGCCAGTGTTTATTTCCAAGGTTGTGTTATATGATGGGGAAAAGTTCTCTGGAGGAAAATTCTGGGGCTCATTAAACAGTGGGTAGAAGAGGAGGAGAGAATGAGGGAGGGAAGTAAAGAGAAAATTATAGCAGGATGATGTTTTCTTTTCCTGTAGGAAAGAACCTAAAATAATTGCAAATCCTGTTTAGAGCATTTTTATTTTTCACACTTTATTCCTGTTTATGCAAAGGAATGGGTTAGGAGATTGCATTCTTAGGGGGAAACTCTCCCCAGGAAATACGTTGTTGTGTCCACAGGACTTTTTAGGTCATTGAGGGAATGGGTTGGAAACCAGTATTTATTTATGGTGGAAGATGATTGACTAGAAGTTCCTCCCATTCCCCTTTGCTTTTAAAACACTGTGTTTATGATATTTATTTGGACAAATTGATTGGCCTCCTTTTGAGTGTAACTGAGAAACCCAGGAATGCTTGTCTAAGATTGCTTAGTGCAAACGCAGGCTGGGGAATACTCCCTGATTATTTGCTGGGGGACTTATGGTGAAATAAGAAAGGGAATAGTGGCCAATACTGTCAAGCAGGCAGCTTTTGCAGGCAACAGGCCTTCTACAAGTCCAGCTTTTTCTTTGAAGTGACTAATGCCTTAATTCTCTCTTAACAACCATTAATCAAACCAACCCATAGGACACAACTTCAATAGCAAATTGAGCCTAAAGTATAAACAGCATATAATGGTTTTGTTTTCCTGTCTCTTTGGCATTGGCATTTTAACAGAGTCCTTGACTAATACAAGAATGTCCTGGATGGTTGAATTTCAGCAACTGGCCAGAGGCTGGTAGGAGGATTATTATGGGCAGGCTGGCTTTCCTCAACTCTTAATAATACCACCACTCCACACAGAAAAGAGCTTCTCTTATGACTGCCCTCTTTTCCTCATAAATCCCTCAATGAGTTTTCTGAGAATGGGCCCAATGGGCTGGCTGTTCTGGAAGGACTTTAAGCAGCTTTCTTCACTGATGGACTGGAGGGAAAGGTGAGAGAATGCCAGGGGAACAGTTCTGCAGTTGCTTTCACTGATTTTTCACAAGGGTGAAAGTTTCCTTAGCTCTGTCCTGTGATATCAGCATTTGAGCTGGGAGTCTTTGAGAGTGTTTATGAACTTTGGTCTCTGGGAGAAGTGAAAGAATAAACTGGGGAGAGAAATTGAGCGAAAGAAGAGGGGTTTGGAGTTGAGGACTCTGTTAGTTTGCTAGGGCTGCTGTAACAAATACCACAGAATGGGTGGTTTAAACAAAAGAAATGTGTTTTTCCACCATTCTGGAGTCTGGAAGTCGGAGGTCAAGAAGTTGGCAGGTTGATTTCTTCCGAGGCCTCTCTCCTTGGCTTGTAGATGGCCATCTCCTCTCTGTGTCTTCACATGGTTATCCTTCTGTACATAACGATGTCCTCTTCTTGCAAGGACACCCATCACATTGGATTAGGGCCTACCCTAGTGACTTCATTTCTACTTAATTTAAGATCCTATCTCCAAATACAGACACATTTCAAGGTACTTGAATGGGATGAGGACTTCAACATACAAAATTTGTGAGGATGCAATTGAGACATAACAAGGAGTGAATTTGGGGAAGCTTCTGCAACCAGAAGTCATGTACGTCCTTCTATTCGTAGGGGAGCCAGCTCTTGGCTACAGAGCATAGACACTAGAAATCCAGTACCATGGACATTAGAAATCACTGAGGAGAGGCTCTAAGGCCCATATATTTTTCCATTGGTTTTCCAACTTGGCTGCTTATTAAAATCACCAGGAAGTTTTAAAAAACACTGATGCCTAGACACCCACCCTTTGAGACCCTGATTCAATTGGTATGAAATGGGGACCAGGGATAGTAATTTTCAAAAACTTCTCAGGAGATTTTAATGTACTACCAGTATAAAAGAAACTAGAGGCTAGAGAAGCTCAGTGACTTGTCCAAGATCAGAAAACGCATGTAGACTAGTGCACAGGGCTCCTGACTTGGGTTCTATGGCTCTTCTGCTAGTACCTTTCTTTTCATTTCTGAAATACTGATATTCCATTAAGTTTCCTGTGATGGATGTCATGGTGCCCCAGACCCCCTGTCTAGCACTGAAGCACTCCTTCCCCCCACTGCTAGGGGCATTAGTACACTGGTCCACTGTGTAGAGACTGCTGGATGAAGATGTATGAAGACAGGATAATTCTGAAGGGCTCTTTCACCTCCAGAGCTCCCTGTAGTCACTGCATTGCAATTCAACTACTCTGTTTGCCCAATCCTCCTTCTCCCACTCCTGTCAGGGGAACTTGTGGATTCCAAAAACACCCTCCAACAAATTCCTGCTGCCAGTTTTAATCTCAGAGTCTGCTTTCTGGGAAACCTGACCCATAAAAGTTTCTTCCTGTTCATAATTCTTTTGTGAGAACTTAAGAGTGCTTGCCATGTTGGGTTCTGTGCTAGGTGCTTGGAATATGAAGAGAAATAAAACCCAGTTTCTACTTAAGTGGTTTGCCATCCAGCAGAGGTGCTGGTCAACAGCCACCTCCAATGCCCTGTCTGAGCTGCTGTAATAGCAATGTCAAAGTGGTATGGGAGCACTGAAGAGGGGGATGCTGATGTCCTGGCTAAGGAGGTCAGCCGAGGCCACTCTGGTCTATATGTTCTAACTGTTCTTAGTTGGCTGTTTAGGAGGCTGAATCCTTTCTTGAAACAACAGTCACTCTTACTTGCCCCTACCAACTTGTATGTTCCAGATAGTCTTTATTTCAGTTTAGGTGGGCTATAGGAGAGAAAGTGGTGAGTAGAGGAGAGACAATAAAGAAAAGAAAAAAGTGCAAGAACCAAGGTATATAGGACATCATGATGGTTAATTTTAGATGTCAACTTGACTGGGTTAAGGCATACTCAGATAGATGGTAAAACATTATTTATCAGGATGCTTGTGAGGTTGTTTTTGGAACACACTTGCATTTAAATCAGTGGATTGGGTAAAGAAAATTTGCTCTCGTCAATGTGGGTGGGCATTATCTAATTCGCTGAGGGCCAGATAGAAGAAAAAGAAAGAGGAAAGGTGGGTTTGCTGTCACTGTTTGAGCTGGGACATCCATCTTTTTCTGCCCTTGGACATTAGAACTCCATGTTCTTGGGCCTTTGGGATTTGGGACTTACACCAGTGGCCCCCCAGTTTCTCAGGCCTTTGGCATCACATGAATTATACCACCGGGTTTCCTGGTTTTCCAGCTTGCCAACAGCAAATGGGACTTCTCTGACTCAATAATCACGTGAGCCAATTTTCATAATAAATACACTCTTATCTATCTATCTATCATCTATGTGTCTATCATCTATCTATCATCTATCTATCTATCTATCATCTATTTATCTATCTATCAATCATATATATCATCTATCTATCCATCTACCCACTCATCCATTCATCCATTCCATTGGTTATGTTTCTCTGGCAAACCTTGAGTAATACAGATACAGTCTGAGAGTTCAGTTTGGGCCTCTCATCTGTGACTCACCCTTCCTTCCCTGGAGGATTTTCACCATCACCACCACCAAGACCAGGCCCCCAGAGATCTTATATTCAGCCCCTCGCACGAAGAAGCTCCAGGATGAGAGCTGACCTGTTAGGGACATAATATCAGAGTCAATGTGACACCTTCCAAGGGAGACTTTCCCTCTGTGTCTTAAGTGGTAGAAGAGAAAACAGTCATCAACCAGCAACCAGTGGGTGAGGTTTAGGAGCATCCAGTGGGTCCTCCTGATGCTTCTGACACTGGACCTATGTGGACCGATGTGTGCAGATGAGGTTATGCAGTCCTGCACCTCCAGACCTGGTGATGGAGAACAAGTAGGGCTGGGTCTTTGTGACAACTACCCCTCTGTGTGCACTGGCTGAAAAGAGGATCGCCAGTACACCAGTACTTAGGAGGAAGGAGGCCCATAACTCCACTAACCTCAAACAGTCTTGTGCTACCTGCAGAGCATCCCCTGTGGGCCAAGCCCTGGTGTGGGCCAGACAGAGGGTGCCAGTGAAATAAAAGTGAAGGCCTTAGCCTTCTAGCAGCCTCCAGCTCAGGTGGGTTGACAGGCACATCATCACCAGGTGTCTCAAGTCTGCTGGAAGACAATCTGCACCCTGGGGAATCTCAGGCCTCCTGGCCTAATTTGAGAAATGTGGTTTCTGCCACAGACCAGTATTTAGGACAAACATACACGTTTAAAAGACCCATGAAGAGACACAAATAAGACATTAACATGTGCAAATGGTTACAGCTGAATAGCTAATGTCAGTAGACAGGACAGACAGAGCTGAGGGCAGGATGTCCCAAACACGTGGAGTCAGCCCATCACCCCTCAGCCAAATCAGGTGATGATGAGGGTGGGGGTGCGGGAGGAGCCCCAGGCAGCAGGAGGTACATTGCAGATAAAGCATTAGTTATTAGAAAACCCAGTGTCCTCCCTAATTGCAGGCAGTGAATGCTGTATAATACTGAAAGTGAATACTGTGCAACTGTATGCATATATATGTGAAAGAATGAAAATTACCAAGGGGACATGTTTGAGGGAACTCTAACAGCATTACTCAGGTGTTTTGTATGCATGAGTTTATGATTTGTGAGCATAGTTGTGTGTAGAATGTGTGCATGTTTCTACGTGTGTGCTTACACTTGTGGGGGCTTCCTTTCTGTTGGGGGAGGCTGAAGATGCCCATGCACTAATCATCTAATCTGCTCTCTTTCTTCTTCCAGGAAGTATTCCCTGTGAACCCATGAGACCTCATCCCTGTGTTGGTCTGGCTGGCTTTCCCTGTGAGATACAGGTTCCTCCAGAAGAGCTGGAGCTCCATTCCAGCCCTAGACTTCTCCTTGCTTCCAGACTTCAAGATGAGAAGCATTTTTCCAGTCCACAAGTGTTAGAGGACACTGCCGATGATGTGTGTTTTGCCCAGGCTGGACTCAGCTTCTTTGGGTAAAGGCTAAGTTTTCTTCAAAATAAGAGGAATCTAGAGAAACTGAGACCATTAAGCAAATTTTTAGAAGTAGATGAGAAGGAAAGTGGGAAAACAAAGCACACTTGCTTACAGAGAAACTAGGAGATCACCCTAATTAAGAAAGCACCTTAATTTGGGGCAGAGAGGGGTTTATAGAAAGTTGGTTGGAGAGAGTGGAGCTTGAAGTAGAGCTATTTCCTGAATTCTTGGGTTAAAGACTCCCCATGGCATCCCTCCCCAAAGCAGATAGCAGTAAAAGGAGCAGGTTTGAGCCAGGGAAGCTGATGGTCTGGCTGCACAGCGGGAAAAGGACCCTGGGGCCTGGATAGCTCGCTGCATGGCTCTTTGCTGATGGGCCTGGAGGAGGGAGAAAGCAACAGCACTGGGTGCCCACGCCTGACTCCCAGGGCATTTAACGTATCTGAAGTGCAGGCAGGACAAGGGGTGTGGAAGATGCAGTCAGCTTTGGTTTCCTCCTGCCTTCACACAACCCTGGCTTTGTCTCTCACCTGGGGCCCCCAACACTAGGGCAGTGATCCTAGTAACTATCACCTGCTCCTCTTCCTGTCCACAGATCCTCAATGCCTGGGCCCCACTCCAAGGCCTTGCTCACACCTTTACATCCACCCAGAGTGCCCTTCACTGCTCTACACTGATGTAAACACCACCCAGTCTCCAAGGCTTGGTTTGAATACCACTTACTCCAGGAAGCCTTTTATGATATCTTTAGTTCCCCAGTTCTCTTGGATTCTGGACTCTTCTGATTTTCCTCCTGCTTCACTGCCCATATCTCACTCACTCCTCCTCCCACCCACCCGAATGTTGGAATACCTACAGCATCGTGCTGGGCTCTCTTTTTTCCTTTACAAACACTTCCTCTTTTTGGAGAAATTTCTTTACCTTGTGGTTTTAATTACTAACCTTATATCAGTAACTCCAAAATTATTCAAGTGTGTACACCTGGCCTTTTCCATGATCTTGAGACTCAGGTACCCAGTTGTCTTCTCTTCACCTCTACTTGTTCATCTAATAGGAATCCCAACCTTCAGACATCCCCAAAGGAGGCTCTGCTTCCTTCTGTAACTTCTTTTCCAAATCTCAGTAAATGGCACCACCACCACCATATACCTAGTTGCTCAAGCCAAGCAGAAGCCTAATTCTAATCTATCTCATCCTTCTATTCCCTGGATATCTTTCATTGACAAATCCTACTGACTTTGCTTAAAAACATAGTCTACGTTCTTCTAAATTGTTCTCTCTCAACCCAGGGCAGGCGACGATCTTCACAATCAGGAACATTGCAAAATCTTCTTTTCACTCATCCCCTTGCCTTCACCTGTTACCTAAATCCACTCTTCACAAAGTCAAATGGTATTTTTAGGACGTAAATGAAACCATGCACTCCTCTGCTCAGAACCCTGCAGGGTCTTTCTATTATGCCGAGGATAAGATGCCAATTTCTTATCCTGGCCCACGTAGTTGAGTTTCCTGGGGTCTGGCCCTTGCTGGGTTCTCTGATGTCATCTCTTGTTCTGCTTCCTCGTTTGCTCATCCCACTCCACCTACTGTTTCTCAGAGACCCTGAGGTTGTCCCCACCTCAGTTCCTTGGCACTGGCTGTTTCCTTTGCCTGGGATGCTCTTGCTCTACATCTTCCTAAGGCTGGCTGCTTCCTGTCAGGCAGGTCTCAGATCAGATGTCACTTCCACCAAGAGGCCTTTTCTGACCCAGTTAAAGCAGCCCCTCACTCATCCTCTCTCCTGCACCACCCTGCTTTATTTTCTTCATAGCACTGATGACACCCTGGCACTGTGTTGCCTGTTTGTTGGGTTTATTTTTTATTGTCCATCTCCCCACACCAGCATGGAAACTCTATGAGGAGAGAAAGTCCTTCTGACTCACTCCGCAACTCTATCCCAGCCTTTAAAGTGATGCCTGGCCCAGAGCAGGCACACGGCAAGTCTTTACTTAACGTCTAAATAAATAAGTGGGCCCCAAAGAGATGCTGTTTGATTTGGAAAGCTTTGATTTCCTTTTTGGGAAACAAGTTCTAGCTGACTACAATTTTTACTCAAAAGGATATAGTCGGTGTATTTTACCCAAATAACATGCACTGCAGTTTCTGTCCTTTCCCTAATATTTTGATACAACTATTACTATGTATTATTTATTTGTTATGGAAGAGATGGACCATATCAGGTCTCCATGTTTTTGTTGATAAACTCTCAAGCATTGGGACGTTTATCTCCAATGCGTCTTCCTCTCAGCAGCCTGGCAAAGAGGCAGTGCTGTGCCAGGAAAGAACACCGAGGCAGGACTCCAGGGTGGGGACTGCTAATCTGGCTTTGCCACAAGTGAGTTAAAACCCATTTGAGAAAGTCACTTTTCCCAATCTGGTTTTCTAGGCTGCAAGATGAGCTTAATAATTGTAGCCCTTCTACTCTGATGAGGCAATGGGAAAGAGGAAGGAGATAGTAAGCGTGTATATTTAAAGGGAAGGTAGTTGTCACTCTTTATTTCTTCACTCATTCATCCATCAAATATTTCAGAGCAATATACTGGGCTAGCTAATGCATGGATGAAAGGATGATGGGATGGGCACTTTTACCCCTCCCAGCCTCACGTGTCTGGTAGGCTTGATGCACACTAATGATGATGGCTGAGAGGTGCAAGGTTACATAAGAGAGGTGCAGCACTGTGCTATGGGGTTCAGAAGTGGGATGGTCTCAGCTGGGAGGCTCCTGAGATTGGGGAAGACGTTGCCTTGAGGAAGCCAGACCTAACCAAAACCAACCCCTCAGGGGTCTGCAGAGTACCCAACCCAGGGGCCAGCACAGCTCCAGCAGGCTGCGGACAGTAAGGTGATATCTCCCAGCCAAGGTCATCCTCCATGACCCTTCAGTGTTGAAGCTTGAATTGACCTGACTGGCAGATCCTGAGGCTGTGGAGCAAATATTTCTCCTTTTCGAATAAGACTTTAACATTCACACAGAGATAGAAGAAAAAAAAAATACAGGCATTTATTGTCTTATATGTGCTGTTAATTGATTCATTTTGAGCCTTTTTTGCCGTGCCTCAATGGGGATTCAGTCTTGTTTTCCCTGGGGGAGCCAGGCTGCAGGACGGCCTGTAGAGTTGCACTGGATTCTTTGGATCTGATCTCGCTTACAGCTGCTATTTCCAGTAGGCGAAATCTTTTGCTCCAATTAACACCATCTCTGTTGCAGCCCAGTTCCCTCTGTTCTTCTTTCCCTGAGTAAAGCTTCCCAGACTTAGGGCAGACAAGAGCCCTGAGATCAAGGCCCTTCTGGGAGTTGCTGGAAAAGACCAGAGAGGTAGCTGAGGGTATTTCTGCCAGCGAATCTCCAATTCTATCTTTATGCGATGCACACAGAAAGGGAAGGCATCCCTGAATTCCTTCCATTACAGATTGGAATGGCCTTTGACAAAGAGTTAAGGTGTCAGCATAAAATGAAGGACCAAGTCTCGGGGGGGGGGGGGGAGAAAGAAATGTGACAAAGCTTTATTTTTACTTTTTAAAAAGGAAAGTACAAGTTCTATTTATTTGGCAAATGGAACGAATGCTGTCTGGAATAACATGACTGCTTTTCTTCTTTTTTGCATAAACAAACTTTTGCAACACAGGTGGGAGGAAATCAGGGTGAATTTGTCCCCCCAGCATTGCCAAATTTAGCAAAGAAAACTACAGAACGTATAGTTAAATTTGAATTTCAGATAAAGAATAATTTTTAGTATAAGTATATCCCATGCAATGTTTGATATTGAAACTAAAAAAATAATTTGCTCTTTATCTAGAATTCAGATTTAGCTGGCTGCTCTGTATCTTATCTGGCAACATTACCTTCCATAGGCCTCAAGTTACTGCTGAGCCCACTCAGGAGCTCTGCTTCTGGGGTTGTCCCCTGCCCAGTCCTCCAAGGATCTGATGCTGCCTTCTTTCCAGATTCTTATTCCAGGGCAACACAGCCAGGGTTTCTGTGGGAGATTCTCCTCCTCGCAGTACTTATCCCACAGTCCCTGGCTCCTGGGATTACCCAGAAACAGTCATGTAGTGAGGTTTAATAACACATGCAGGTGTGGGCTTCCTTCCAGTGGCCCAGAGCACAGGACTGTCTGTGTTGGTTGCACAGTGGAAATACAGGGGAGCTTTAAAAAAATACTGATGCCTGGGTCTCATCCCCAGAGATTCTGAATTAATTGGTCTGGGATGTGGGCCACCTACTGTGATTTTTAAAAATCTCCCCAGGTTATTCTAGTGAGCACCTAACACTGAGGACCAACCTTAAAACCACCAATGCAGAAAAGTGCAGTTCTGGCCTGAGGTCTCATTGACTTAGAGAGAGCCTGAGTATACTCAGGGTTACAATAGAGAAGAAAGCCAAGTAAATGTCTTGGATGCACTGGAATCTACGAATCATGTTTATGGCTCTGGTCCTCAGACATGTGTGAGGGATTCAAGGCAATGAGCTCTGAGACCTCCGCTGTCCAGAGTCACAGCACACATGGGGAGAGATGCTTCCTCTTCTCCATACCCCATCAGTGCTGAAACACTACCTTACATAGAGCCACGGACTGGGGACATCGGAGTCCAGTGTGTGTGATGGAGTAGGGGCTGGAAATAGAGGTCAGGATGTGCTGCAAGCCAGGGAAGGCTGGGCAGGAGCAAGACCAGGGCGGCCTCAATGGCCTAGATGCTCATTGCACTAGCGAGATGTGAGAAGCTTCAATCCCTCCTGAAATGGGGAGATGATGCCAGGAGAAAGCGACTTGGTATGTGAGGGGGGAAAGGAAGGCAGGCTAGTGTGTGAGCTCACCATCACAGCTGATACTTAAATGTATGTGCTAGAAAGGCAGAGAGTATGAGTGTAATGACAGTAACAAGAGCTGTTATTCCAGTACTATTGAATCTTATCGTAATGTCATTATTACATATAATATATTCTCATTTTTGTTAAAAA